TCACTTAAATGCTTCTGTGTGTTTTTAAATGCCTAAATGTAATAACATTCAAATGTTTATCTATTTTAGCATACTCCCTCAAAACAAATTTGTTAATTTTTAACATTCACTGAGTTCAATTGAATAACTACCCATTTCTGTAATGTGTTATACTCAACACTTTTCTATAACCAACGCATGTTCAGCATTACAGATACATTCAAATTTAATGCACTTAGAACATAATATTAATAGAATACAGCTTCAGCTAAATGTAAAATAAATTCAACTACTGGGAAATATTACAGAAAGCTGAATGAAGAATTTAAAATGAGGGTCCCTTCATTTAAACTTACATAATATATGACTTATTTGGCATCATACTGCTAAATGTGTTTAACAAAAAGGACCATTGATGGGGTTGCAAGTAAAATACGGCAAGTATACTTCAATATTGGTAAAATATTTCACCCATCCACCAATCTATTCACCCAGCCAGCCAGCCAGCCATCCATTTTCTGTTCCATTTAAACATAAAACATACTTCTACTATTAGTGTACTTAACAGTGTGGAGAAGAAACCCTCTTCTTTACTTGCACAAATTTTATTAAAAGCACAAAGCATGTTATCTACCATCTGGTTCACTGCCTCTAAAGAAGTACCTGGTTATAGTTTTTGAGCGTGGTTTATGCATAAATCAAGACTTTCATAAGAAAAAACAAAAGTTGCAGAACAGCCTTGTGGTGAACCCTATTGGGATGTCAAGTGTTGTGAAGTGTAACCTCTGTCTGACAGTTCTCTGTTGTGGTGTTCACTGTCAACTTCCTGCTAACATCTGTTAGCTCCACCTACAAGAATCATTGAAACATGGATTCTGCAGAACAGATGTTGTACTTTGTCATGAAAATAGACTGTTCATTTTAATTTTATATATTCCACTCACTCTTGTCTGTAAAGGCTTTTCTCTCATCTCTATGAGCTTTTGTATAATGAAATTTTGTGTATTTTGTGCACTGTACAGAGTCATCTTCATCACAAACAGAAAGTAAACAAGGTATGGTCATGGTGCTACTGTGTGTTGATTTTCTGCTTCCTTGGCATTTCTGAAACCTCGATTCATGGTGTGCTAATGGTGTGTCATTGAAAAGATCTCAGCTTTTGTTTGCCTCTCGAGCTTCTGCTACACACAAAAAACAAGATAACAGATGCTGAAGATCAATACCTCTTCAGAATCTCAGGGTTGTTATGTTTCACAATGACTTCCTGTTTTGTGCACTTTGATTCCTCAAGACTAAATGTCAATATTGGCCAGACGTGATATTTTTCTGCTCACAACCTTTCTAATACAGAGAGAGTGAAATGATGATGAAACAAGGACTGTAGAAGTGTAGAAAGAATAACTCTAATATGATCTTTTGTGGATACTTTCCTCATCTTTTAATCAAAATGCTGTATGCATTGTTCATCCTTATTCTTATACATATTTCTGATCAACACTAGCTGTGCCTCATGTTTATACATGCAGTTTAAACATATGAGAAGTTCAGTGTCTGAGGGATTCAGTAATGCATAGTGCATGTTCCCAGCTTTGCTATAGTGTGGCAATTTGTCCAACTCTCTTTAGCATTTCATTTCAGACTAATCCAGTGTTTGTGGAGCAAACAAAGGGAGTGCTTATATCATTTCACAGTGAAGTTGTGTCTTTTCTACAAACAGAAATGAATGAAAATACTGTGCACAAAAAAAAGGTGCTAAAAACATGAGTAAATATGTCCAATGTGTTGAAGGCCACGTTTGGGAGGAGCTCCTGTTTAAACGAGGATTTGAATGATAAAAGCTGTGGACATGTGTGATCTGTCATTAGACATTACTTTCATGTCATTTAACACCAGGAGGATGCACTATACCAGCTGCTCAACTGCAGAGGAAACAATATGAACATTAGAACAAGCTAACTGGGCATAACCATCAAGCTGTTGAAGCCATATTATCAGTGTCATGAAAGCTGGAAGGATAGGGTATAATAAGAACTGTGTTTGTGTCTTTAATAAACAGAGTCTGTTGGCACATGTTGAAAGTGAACTCTGAGATTGTGGAACAATGCTGTGAAATCCTCCCTAAAAGTCTGATGACTTGTGCGTTCTCCAGAGGAACCTCCTTTATTTTTTAATCAGCGTTGAGGATATTTTTATTTACCTTGTGGAGTGTGTGACTGTTTCACACGGGAGTATCTCTGCCATTCCTTCAGAAAACATTCAGGCTCACAGTTACTGTTAAAGGTATGACTTACATATATTAAAATTTTGGAAAAAGGACCCATTCAAGTGATGAAAGAAAAATCAGTTCTACAAACAATCATATGATTTTTTTTAAATTATAAAATAGCACACAAGATACAGTACCTTCACACCTTTAAATTAATCTGCAAATGAAAAATCTCATCAACCGAACTTTATTACTGTGTATAAATATCTTGGTATTTTAATTGATGAAAACTTAACATTCAAAAACCATATTTCAAGTTTGGTTCTTAGACTTCGGCTGAAGATCGTTTTTTTTCTATCAGAATAAATCCTGCTTTCCCCTGCACTGAAGAAAAACTCTGCTTGAGTCAACTTTTTTACCCATGTTAGATTATGGTGACACATTGTACAGGGAGCAACTTTAAAACCACTTGATGCAGTTTTCCATTATGCTATTAGATGTATTACAGGTGAAGCTTACAGCACCCATCACTGCATCCTGTATGAAAACGTTGGCTGGTCCTCTCTCTCTGTGAGGCGAGACTTACATATGTACCTTTTTATTTGTAAAGTGCTGATTGGGATGCTGCCTCCTTACATTTCATCCATGTTAGTCTGGTCTTCTGGGGGGCATTACACATGATCAAATGACTGGCTTACACTGCAGGTTCCTAGAGCTCTAATGAGCTTGGAAGATCTGTTTTTGGCTTATTTGCACCATCAGCTTGGAATTAGCTACAAAGCACTTTAAAAATCAAGGCACTGGTTTCTTATGGCCATTTTAGACCTTTAATTATTAAATATACTTGTTTATCTATTATGTGTATATATATATGTGTGTGTGTGTTTATGCATACAGTGTATGCATATGCTTATGTGTGTATGTGTACATATATATGTATATATATGTTTGTTATTTTTCATTGTTTATCCTGCTCGACGTCATTCTAAACGAGGGCTATGCTCTCAATGATTTTCGAGTTTAAATAAAGTCATAGATACAAAAATAAATAAAATTAAAAGAATCCTGAACAGAAATGAAAATTCCTCACAACCTCCATTGTTAATTATGAGGACAATTACTCTGAGAGGTCTTTTTTTATAGCTACATGACCATGACTGGACAAGTTTAGCTCACTCTGGATCTGATGCCAGGAAACTGAATAGAGAAACTTTGCTCTATTAATGAGCAGATACAAGAAGCCCCAGTGTCCCACGGTGGGTGAGGATTGGAGAACAATAAGCAGATAGAAATCACAGAAAACACAAGTTTACATGTTCTTCTATTGGTTTAGAATGAGTGGATGTAACAATGATGTTACACTTGATTGAGAGTTAATATTTGTGTTTAGTTAAGTTACAGTGTTGGTTTACATAAATAACTCATAACAAACCATAAACTATCAACTTTTGATCTGGAAAAGTCAGAAATGCTTTAAAAATATGTATACGGGATGTATTTTATAACCAAAAACTGAGTATGTAGGATATGTCAGTAGAAGGTAAACACCGAAAAGCTTCAGTAAAATGTATGGAGTACAATTGTTTTAGAGACTGTGTTTTTAAGGCTGTAAATTGACATTTTGTGCTGTTATCAATCAATCAATCAATCAATTGTTATTTGTATAGCGTCAACTCATAACAAATGCCCAGACTGGAGGACCACTGCTGGAGCTGCTCCTGTGCGTCAAGGGTCGAGACTAAGCACTCTCAAATATATGTGAAAATACACCAACAAATGTAAAAGTCATTGTTTTCCATGTCTCTAACAGACAAATAGGCAGATCAGAAAATACATTATGCTATGGTGTGGCTTGGGATGCATTGTAAAGGTGTTATTTTTTTATCAAGCCATGTGTATCCATGACATTGTGTGGACTGCTTATTCATGGTCCTCAATCAGTAAAAGGAGAATATCAGAGTTGTTTTTGTGTTAATTATAGAAACTATGCTGCCATCTTGTGGTAAAAAAAAAAACAAAGCATGTAAAACCCTCTGTGACCACGTGAACTTCAGGAGTACGAGGTTAAGATAATCAACAACAGTTATTTGAGCCGCTTCGCTTAGTTTTCTAAAGACTTTGTTTGTGATGTGGTCACTATTGAAGTTGCTCACTCAATGCAGACAAAGGGGAATGCAATAGAAGTAAGGGCTGTATGTCTGATGTTCAGACCCCTGGGGGCGCTGTAGCTTTTCCTTTTAGTCACCCAACATCTTCAGAATCACTCACAGGCTTGTATTTTGTGCTGACATCCTGAAACCCATCAACATTGACCTCCTGTGTTTCCCTTATATTCTCTGTTGGGTTCTCTTAATGTTTTTGTTATTGTCGAATTTTTTAGACCAAACTGAAAATAATAAGTACATCAAAGAGCCTTGTGGTTCCACTAAATAACAGTGTGCTGATATAAATCGGTTTAATTAACAAGCGTATAGCTCCATATTTGGGAACTAACCACACAGTGCTACTGTGAGCCCTTTCTGGCTGCTCATTTTATGGTACCTTTGTTGTAGTCTGTAGTTATTGTCCGTCATATTTGTCATATTTTGTTTCCATTTATATGGCCAATTCCACATTTTGATAAATGACTCAATCTGTGTTTAAGGATTAAGAGCAGACCTGGTTGGCCTGGTCTGGTCACAGTACCTTTCTCCTTTTTAGATGCATCGGGGGAACACTCAGTGCAGACAGACCTGAACAAATAATGGAGGGTGGACGCGGTGGGGAGTAGTCAGATGTGCGGCCCTTACTCATTGGTTGCCTCAGACACAGTAGCTCTCCCTCTCGCTCTCTCATAAATGCGCTCCCACCACCGACCATAGCAGATAATCACAGGCCGCTGAGAAGAGGACACACCTTCTGCTCATTTTGCCTCAGTTTACACGGGGATGCGTTTCGATTCACGACAAGGTGTCACAAGTCCTACATTTAAGTCGTTTTTGCAGCTCGCAGTTTCGTCATTTTTGCAGTTTTTGCGCATAGGTTTCGAGACTCTTCCGCTCTAACTCGAAGATGACTGGGGTTTTTGAAAACTTAAATACTGATATGCATTCAAACCAGATTACCTCAAGCAACTACCACAGCTTGCACAAGTCGCAGGAGTCCCCGACTCTGCCAGTGTCCACGGCGACGGACAGCAGCTACTACAACGGCCAACAGCCGGGCCACTGCGCAGGGTCTCCTTTTGGCCAACTCGGCTCGTACCAGTACCACAACAGCGCCACGAGCACTGTGCCATATAAGTCTTACGACCTCGGCTTTAACTCTTCTTATGGTGCATACGGCTCCTATGTCTCCAACCCATCTCCTACTCCAACAGATACAGGTAAGGAATATCTCGATGTTTTTAAGTTATTATGTGTTGTCAGACATGATTTGACACGCATGTCTTGCAAATATGCAGTTAGACACAACACAAATGCAAATAGAAAAAATATCTTAAATTATCGTGTAAAACCCTGTCTGACATGTACAGAATGCATAATACATTTTAGTTCAAAGCAAATAAGAAATGCAATACCTTTCATGCATAACATTGTATTTGAATGTCCCTTTAGAAAAAGAAGAGAGTGAGCCAGAAATCCGGATGGTTAATGGAAAACCAAAGAAGGTTAGGAAACCTCGAACCATTTATTCCAGCTTTCAACTGGCTGCACTTCAACGAAGGTTTCAGAAGACGCAGTATTTGGCTCTACCAGAACGGGCTGAGCTGGCAGCCTCAATGGGCCTTACTCAAACACAGGTGCGTACATCTGAGACATTGGTCCAAAAAATGTGTAATATCTACTTAAAGTCTAATATTTAAAAAAAACCAAAAAACTGTCAATGGCGGTGTTGAGACTCAGAATATTGTTTATTAAATCTTACGCTTGCATCCGTTTCTTTGTCAGGTCAAAATCTGGTTCCAAAACCGCCGCTCCAAGTTCAAGAAGTTGTGGAAAAGTGGAGAAATCCCTCCAGAGCAACATGTTGCTTCCAGTGAATCTCCCCCCTGCACTTCTCCGCCAATTACTGCCTGGGACTTTCCACAGACTCAAAGAATGAACAGTGTCAACCCCAGTTTACCTCAGAGCAGCAGCCCTCCCAACACGACTGCGCCTTCATCGTTTTTGGCAAACTACTCCTGGTACTCAACCACGAACTCTACGACGCATCTGCAGCCCCCCTTGATTCACCACCACAACTCCGCCATAAGCGCTGGGACGATATTCTGAGACAAAACAAACAAAAAAATCGGGTTTGAATCGGACAATACTGGTAAAAAAACAAATAGAAAAGCCAACAACTTTATTTTGCAGACCTCGTGTGCGCGCCATGCGAACTTTACGCACAGGCATAGGAGAAGTTAATGGAGGCAGACAGGTTCATGGACCGTGCCAGTTTTCGCAAATGGTAGACACAGATTTCTACGGTTATTTTTGTATTTATTTATTTTGTTTATGTCGAGGAATGAATGAACCACTATTACCCAAAGCAATTACAGCCTGGGCGCAAGCCTGCTTTTACGCGGACGTCACTTTTTGCCATGCCTGAGAATCAAACATATTCATCGCAGGACAACCTGTCACAAATGTAGCACAAGTTAACTGTATCGTGCCTTTTTCAATATGACCTCATTTTTTTGTGTTAAACAGCTTGTTTTTATCCATCCCATGTCATTAGATAAGTTGAATAAACTGGGGTGTAAGTGTCTGAATCCACGTTTGTAAATATCTTACCACAGCTTTTTGATAGCCCATGTTGCTTTGAGTTTTATTTTTTAGGCTACTGGTGTAAATCCACAATTATCCACCGTGAGCTACTGATTGTTCCACCCTCTGATTTTCTTGTATCACATTTAAATGTATTTTTGTCTTATTTATTTTAGCAGTGTTCTATATATGGTCAGACGTTATTTAAATAAAAAAAATGTTTCTGTCAAAAAGCATCCTTATTTTCCTTTGCTAAAATGGTTTCTGTGCCAATGCCTCAGTGAAGGACTGGTGGAAATGTCTTAGTTGTTCCAATTAACAATTATTCTGCAGGCTTGGATATTTTTTAAACAATTTTGACTTAAAGCCTTCCTTGGAGTTGGGAATAATTTTCATACGTTTAATTGTTTAATTTTTGAAAATACACGTTAGGTTGAAGACCATGTTAAGCTGTTGGGGAAACTCAACCATAGGCTAAATTGTAACCAATACATTTATTTATTTATTTTTACAAATATTAATTTAAAATAATTCCAACCTGTATTCGGTTGTATTCATATAGCTGTAAATATTAAGGTTATAATGGCTGAAACTGGATTGATAGAACGAAGACAACACAATTATTAGCCTAGCTTACTACGCAAACATCTGCTGTGTTGCTTGGCAACAGCTGATTAGTTTAAACAAGAATTAGCTGTTCGGACGGTTTAAGATAAGAGGGCGTTAACTTTTAAGACTTACCAATGTTACACTGATTTAAGGCTTTATTCTATCAAAAAAAGAGATGTTGTTTGTAATAACAAAGGCATTCGAGTGCCTTCATAGGAAAAACGTAGGAAAATGCTAAACTCGAACAGCCTACCCGGTACCGTCAGAAGATGATTAGCCGACTCGCTGCTCATTCAGGCAGGTAGACAGAGGCCCGGGCACAGGCTGACATGCTCAGCAGAAGGTGAAGCTAAACTACAACACGCCTTGGCATGCAAGCGGGAGAGATGAGGTGTTCACAAGCTCCTCAGACTGTGTGGAGTCAGAGAGCTGCTGAAAAGGCGTGTTATTGGGTCCAAGATAGCCAGAAGCTACAACATCATGGAAACATTTCTCACGTCTCACAAGCAGGATCTCTGAAGACGAGCAGACTGACATGCAAAAAAGATTTATCATAATATTTGTTAGTCTATTTGTTGCATTGCAAGCAAAATATTCTAATGTAGGATAAGTTAGCTATGTTTAGGGTTATTTCACATTTCACATGGATGAATAGACAGATAATGTGTGTGTGTGTGTGTGTGTGTGTGTGGAGGGGGGGGGCTTACTATTAATACAAAGTCATGATTATCACTGTCTGTTCCACACGCTTGCCTTCAAACGAGCACCATAAAGTGGGATCGTTTCTTGTACATAATTAGGACTGTAGCTTGTCAGCGGTTGCCATATCTTCATGATGGAGCCTCCTCCCCGGAGCTGACAAGATCAGACCCCAGATATACTACAGTAGAATTACACCTATGTAAGCTATACGGGCCCTTATAGGCCTATACTTTCAGGTTGACCTTAGTAGATTTAATACTTTTTATTGAACAGCAAGTGTAAATGAATGCATTGTGACATGTCTGCACAATGGGTTTAAATAACACAACATTTGCCTAACAGTTTTTCTCTTAGTGATTAACATAGGCCTACTTTACCAAACTTTTTTTGAGTAGAATTTTTTATTTTCTTCCTTAAATTTTTTTTTTTTTTTAAATGGTTATTTTTGTTTCCCCACGTGACTTCCTCCACAGATTAGTTCTGCCTGTGGTTTATACTTTAGCATTTTTCTAGGCAACTTGTAAATGCCAAACCCCCTATTCTAATTTATACCCTGATCTGTAATTTCATCCACATTTGCTTCGGTTTGAGCATTCCGGCTTTCAAATATGAAAGCCTGCAATTACTATATAATTCTTCGCAATTTTAGATGTCCTAATATGGGGTGTTATTTTTTACACAAGACAATTTCCCGCTATTTCAAGCATCAACATTGTCAAAGTCGTATGTACATAATAAATGGGAATATCAATGCATAGTTTTTAGCCTAACATCTTGACTCAACGATAATTATATCCGTGTGGAGCCTACGCAGAATTAGTCTGAATTGCATGGTAACTGCTGCTTTAAATTTTAAAAAATTACTCATAATTTCCCCCCAAAGATTACCAAGATCTCGAGTGCACAATGTCATCAGCGTAATGAGGAGTAAACATTTATGCTAATAATCTACATTTTTTCTCCCCTATCAGCTATAAAGAGGGGAAATAAAGCAGACATTTTCAGTCATTTTCTGAACTGTGCTGCTGCTAAAGCTTAGACCGACACATGGGACACATTTTGTGGGATTTAAGCAGTTTGTGTCTGTGCTGCAGGATGCTGCTGCTTTCTGACAACCTGAGACAGAGCTTTGCCTCCTCAATTCCAAGCTTACAAGGTAGGTATTTATTTTCATTTCTTAAAGGAATATTCATTGACATGGCAGGATGAGTCAATGCATTTCAAACAGCATAATTCATCATTTTTTCTTCCTGCCTAAACGTTTTATTCTAAGTTAAATCAAAGAATTTTAGGCCTTTTTCTAAATATTTTATAATGTAACACATTCCCAAGAGATCTTTCGTGCAGACTGAAGGCATATTTTACCCTTTTTAATTCCATTTTAAAATAAGTCCAGTTTATTTAATATTCAATCAAAAACTGCTTACTCTAGGAAAATGTCTTAAAGCTGATAAAGCCGTGCACACGTGTAGGAAATGTAAGGAAGAGCAGACACACAAAATGTTCTTTAATTCAGCCCCTGCTCTCATTACTCTTATTGTGCTCTGCTAATTTTGAAGCCTCTTCTCCGCACTGACAGAACTCCGTGATGTGGTGTACACCTGCAAGCAATTTGCCAGCCTTACACATAAGTCTAAGTCTAAGGGAACAGTGACGAAATAGCTGCTCACCTATTTTTTTTTTTTTGCTTCTTTTGCTGCAGCAAATTTTCTTTCAGAGCACTATCTCCTTTGTCAACGCAGAAAGATCCTCCGTGCGAAAAAAAGGCTCATAATTACCTCAGAGATGGGAAACTGCATTAGAATAAATAAGGGCGAAATTACTGTAATTATGCTGGGTTTGATGGGCTCAGCTCGTATAATCAAGGGGAGAATACAGCGAAATAACACTGACCCTCTTGGATGTGCAGCTGCGCCTTTCTAAGGCTTAGGTAGGCACATTTATGTTTGCTACAGCAGCAGCACAATTCATGTTACTTCTTAATGCTGTCTAAATATACATATAGCTAGGCCTTTCTGTAGGCTTGTTCACAAAGAACCGCATATGTAGAGGGTTTGAATGAAATCAGTAATGGAGGCTGGAGGATTGTATACAATGTAACACAAAGTAGAACAGATATTACTTTAAGAAGATGGTGTGATGCTGCCAGAAAAACTAAACTGCGCCAGATTCATTAGACTATTTAAAAAGCAAAATATATGATAATGATGGTCTGATTTAACATTTTGAACAGTGTGTAGCCTATTTTAAATATTTTAATGAAAATAATTGATGAACAACCAAATGAATGAAGTGAATGTAGCCTAGTTGTTTTTTGCAGGCTACCTCTGACCTGATAAATTAATGCGATGCAGATCGAAGAGATTGCATCTTATTTTATATGTGCTTGCAAAATACTCAAATATTTATTCAGATCCAAGGGAGCGAGTTGGCTACTAGCCGCACATTTTTAAGTCCGTTTCGCTCAATTTGTTTCTGAATAAGGATCTGAGGTGTGTAACTAGAAAATATTTTTGTGTGTGATAATAATGTTCCCTTTATAATTTCCCATTATTATTGAATGCCTAGTTTCCAAGTTTTCGTTTTTCGGGGGGTGTTGTATATTATTATTATTAGTAGTATTATTATTTTTTTAATTTTTTTTTTTTTTTTTCTTGCACCCAAATTTAAAAAGATCCACATTTCGATTTTTTATTTCCGGTCAAGTTTCAATGGCGTTTGATTGGAGAGGTATTTCTAACTGTCTGAAGTTCAGTACCGTTTCTTTGATGTATCTACATTTAAAAAGCATGAGTATGATCCAGTAAAAAAAGGCTGACTGCACTAATGAGTAGAACTATAGTGCAAATGAATAAAGTGTGAACTCCAAACAAGAAAGCCTTTGAACTTTTCACTTTCCCTGATCTCCATCTGATCCCCGCCGCTTCAAGTGCTCATCCAGTCTTTTCTGCAGCACCTGCCTCCTGCGCAATTATTCACTTAACACACACACACAGTTGATCTCTCCTATTCACGTCGAGAACATGGGGATTGTGGGAAGATACAGAGACAAAAGATAAGAAAAGCTTACAAGAAATAAGCGATGTTTATCAAATGACTTGTCTTCTGGACGGCTAGGTTAAAACGCTTCTAAATATCTGATGCCGGACAAAAGATTAACCTGTCTTTATTTTTTCATTTAACATGTTAAATGCTGCTGAGCTTTTATTTTATTGCAGATGCATTAGGAGTTTTGTTTTGGAGGATTTTTAGACACGGCGTCAGATTTATAATTTATGAGGTCACTCCAGAGGTTTGACAACATCTGCAACCACAAACCCATTTGGTCTGAACACGACTATGAATCTGAACGACGAGCCTTTTGCAGCTCACACTCACATGGTGCCTGCTACAATAACCGACATGATACTGCTTTGTCAGCCCCCATTAAAGCTGCACCACGCTGAAGCCTTTTCTTTTCACGCGTGAGGAGGAGGTGGGTGGGTGGATGAAGTAGTATGGAGAGGATGGGTGGTGGATTTCAATCAGACACCTTTCTTGACATAATTTAAATCATTCTTTTACTGCTTTTGAAACTTTGCACATTCTGTACATAAACTTTCAGAAACAGATCAATAAATTAAAGTGATCAATACAAAACTAAATATTTTCTATGTGGACTAAACACATCTCGACGAATACAGAAAGCCTAAAACCCTGTTTCACAGCGTATCCAGTACAGCACAAAAACAAATCCGGAAAATATGTACAAAATACAGTGACAAATCAGCTGCTCACCCTCGCCATATTTCTTTTTTTCCAAAGCAGCAAAATGTCAGGCCATTTAAATGTTTTCACATAACATGGGGGCACGGCATAGAAAAGCTTTGCTTGCGTTAGTGCAGCAGAAACAACACAGTGTTGTTGTTGTTTGAAAAACACGCACAAAATGAACACAGGCAGACCTCAACATGTCCGAATAATTTAAATTAAATAACAAACACATAGAAACAACATTTGAGGCGTTGCACAACCTGCTCCGTGGTTGAATGTGCTGTAAGCATATCCTGCCCCGATGGTGGAATTATTCATTATTTGGTTAAAGAAACCCCTCTTTGATCTGATCCACCTTTAAATGTTAATGACTGCAGATTGATTTTTTATAATCACCTAAGGCCCGACATCTGGAGTAAACAAACACATGTTTTCTTACAAACAGAAATACTCACACAAATAGATATTTAAAAAAAAAAATAGAAACGGACACAACAGTGATAAAAAGCAGCCAAAAAAGGACCCATATGTCTACGACTTCCGCTCGCTGTCAGGGAATTGTTACCCTTAGGCGCATAGCGCGCCCTTTCAGTCTTTCAATCCCTTCTTCCTCTTTGCTCCTTCCGGGTTGAGGAGGCCACTGTCAGCTGGCTGCACGCGGCAGTAGACTCCGGGGTTGTTGTTGTTGTTGTTATTGGTTTGTATCAATGCCGGGCTGCGCGGTGCGGCTACAGGCTCCTTTAACATCCGGATCCGCGAGCCAGGGCCGAGTGGAGGGCTGAGGTGTTTGTTCACATGAGCTGTGACTGTTGCATAGACTCTTGGTGTGTGGTGGGATACCACGAGGTGTAGCTGGGAATGTAAGATCCGGTTGATCCCACCGAAGTCTTGACGGTGGTCGGTGAGGTCCAGACAGGTGCCACCGAGGGGGACCCGCTAGACAGTCCGCGGCCGGTGGCCAACGCGTTGGCGTCAATTGTTCCACCGCCTTGCTTCATCAGTTTCTTGAACTTAGAGCGTTTATTTTGAAACCAAATCTTCACCTGGAGAGACAAAGAAAATAATCTGGATTAGACAATGGAAGGGGAATTTTAATGGCAGATTAAACGTAATCGTTAACAGAATTTGGCAAGATTTACGCACGTAGCAGATTCCATTTTTATGAAGTCAAGAGTCATAACATTTGTTATATCTTGATCTCAATGCGACATTACTGTACAGACATTTAATTGTTATAAATCACTGAATGACGTAATGATATTTACAGAAACAAAAGAAAAGCTTTCATTTGTGGTAAAACATGACATTTTAAATTAGTCCTAGTTAAATAATGTTCCATATTAATTGTAAATGTTACTCACATTGCTAATGATTGCATATTTGTGTGAAAGTATTTGTGCGTATCCGTGTGTGGACACTTACCTGTGTCTGAGTGAGACCCAGCGACGCTGCCAGCTCGGCTCGCTCCGGTAACGCCAAATATTGCGTTTGTTGAAATCTCCTGTTCAGAGCTTGAAGTTGTAAACTCGAATAGATAGTCCTTGGTTTTCTAATCTTTTTCCCTTTCCCGTTGAACCGAACCTCTCCGCCTTCCACCACTGTGTTTTTCTCTGTTTCTGGCGCTGAGGGAGAGGAAAATGAAAAAGAGAAGGTTAAAATAGAAGAGGCAGTTGTAGCTAACAGTGCTGCGCAGCTATGAATACTCCAGCGCAGTTTTACAGGCTGTACTTTAGGTATAATTACCCTTAATTGCATACATTGTTTATAGCGTTACGCAATAAATAATTACCAAGCCTAATTCCAACATCTGGCTTGTCTTTTCGCTGCGGCGGCGACTGTAAACATTTGAAAGCGGTGCCAACACAGAAAGTGGATATTTAAGATGCCGTTGAACACTTACCTGCGTCCTCTAACCGTGTCTGTGAGAGCGCCGAGCTGTTTTGGTAGCTCTGTACTGTGCTGAGATATGGACTGGTGGAATGGCTGCCGACCGAGTTGACGTATGGATAACCCAAAGATCTGGGGAACGACGATGCTGGGCTGTAGCTGTCGTGCTGGTTATGACCTGCAGAATGTAAACAGTGCATGGGATAGTGTCCGTGAGACATGGAGGAAGGCGACATTTGCTGACTCGGGGGTCCAAACTCCATGAAAACGGTTTTTCCTGAGGCAGTGCTATTAAGACTTTCTGGGATTGTAGTCATTGTCATCTCTTCTCGCGGTCCCCCTTGTCTCGCTTTTGTTGTTTTCCTTCTATGATCTCAGTGAAGGATGGGTCCCAATTTAAGCCGAACTGATTTTTTTTCTTTCCATTCATAAGAAAATGTAGTTTGTGCCTGTGAAAAGTCCCAGGTATGATGCTGTGGACCAAGACAAACTCGCTCAAAGGTTTGAATCTCGGACTCATGAATATTCATCGAAGACGGTCGCTGATTGGTCCACTCGCTCCAAGAGGGAAGCCGATTGGCGACGCTGGGGCTGGGTCCGAAGAAGCTGATAAAGTCAAGGAAAAACACAAATGTACTATAGTTCCTCCTGACATGTAAAGATTCACTATTTTTGTTGTTTTTATTATCAGTTAATAAATTCACAACAGCAGTTTTGGACACAAAATAAGCTACTGAATACATTTATAACCATTAGGTGATGGCCTTTTTGTTTTGTCCCTTAGAAATATCCTGAAACTGTGTTTTTCAATAATATATTTCTCTTTAATAAATAATTACATTATAATTATTGTATTGTATTATTATTAGAAAGTAGAAGTGCAGCGTAGGTTATAAAACGTCATTTATTAAAGTTAAATCATATTTGCAGGCTCGTTGAAGCTGCTCTGTTTGCTTTATTCCGTTTGATTAAAGCTTTTTTGATTGAAGCTCTATCTGCAGGAAGGTGTATTAGCATAACACTAGTGTTTAATTTTCATAAGTAGCTCTGTAATTAGTCATGTATTTAACACTTACGGTGGCTTGAGGTCTCAGTTACACCTGGCAGCAATGAGGGAGGTGAACCAGTTCTGCCCTGATGTCAAATGAGGATTGTTGGCTCAGGTTTCTGCTTAATGATGTTTTATAACACCTGAAAACACACAACATCACAAAATAAGAAATATATTGTAAGATTTATTTTTTAAGTAAAATGAAATCGCACTTTAATTAACTAAATTGATCGTCGTCAAATGCATACAACTAAAAAACGTATAATAACAGGAAGTATTCCATAAAATATAATAAGTAGGAAACTGTTCTTGTGTCAAAATGTTTTCCCACCTAGCTGTGGCTTGTTTTAGAACACAGCCATGAATGCACACAGGCCTATTTTCTTATCACATTGAAATGCTTTCCAAACGACTTTACGCACACTCTTTCGCAATCAATTAATGGTCACAGTTGTGTTAAACACTGGCACCTTTGATTAGCATGAAACTGAGTGAGGGTGGGGGTGCGGCCGGCCTCCCACAGCCATACAAGAACAATTATCCACGGACATTTGATTAAATTGAACTGACGACTGACTAAACACAGGAGATATTTCTTTCAAAGCTCGAAAAGGACCACTGATGCAGCTATGAGTACAACCAGGGTCCATTAAAAAAAAAAAATAATAATAATAATTTAATCAGCAGTCAGAGGCAACATCGATGCACTTACTTTAAAAAAATCAGGTGATATAAAAGTAGCAGATAAATCGGCGTCATCCGGGGTCATAGATCCTCCGCGGGATGCACTTGGTGAAAGTAGAAGAAGAAAGTATCCAGACACTCTTGATTTTATTAGGCTTCATTTTCCCGCTGCAGCTCTTCCTCTGCTGTCTGTGCAGAGCAGAAACACACCCTGGCTGCTGCTCCAACCGCAGTCCCTCCATCTCCACCTGAATAACAAATTAAAGGCAGTTAAATTCCGTCACTGTGATTATCAGTGTAATTACATAATTGAACTCAAAACAGAACTAGCAAGTTGCAAAAAAATGTGGTTATAAAAAATGCAGGCGCTGACATCACGGCATGTGCGCCACAGAGTGCCAGGCGGCTGCGGCTGCCTGGATTTAAAGATTTCTGTGAAATATTAGGCTATAACGAAAAAGCTGGTCCCTTATCCCCCCTGAAATAGACCAATTTGAAGTGATTTCTCCGGAATTACTTTCGAAAAATGCTTCAAGATTTCCTCTATCAACAACGACAATGATAATGGCAGTACAACCAATAATTATCATCTTCCAGAACAGAGGACAGATTTTTATGGGTACTTGGTGGGTGCGACTGATAACTGTCATTATTTTCCCACGATTATAGTATCTGCAAACTGCCACGCGGCTGTGAGCAAAACCATTAACAGAATAGAGGCAGAACAAATGTAAAGTAATACCACGAGGGTTCCTGAAATAATAGCAATAATTATTACTGGCTGTTATTTGTAGTGGGCCTAGATGTAAATTTAACGCAGAGTAGACTTAATCATGCTGCATAAATCATTTGATTTATACCTTTTGCACAATCAAACATTTACAAAGTGTTGATTTGCACACAAGCTAAACCATTAACTATTTACATGAGGGATTTTCTCAAGCCATCCTCAGGGACATTAAGCGAGCAGGCGTGCGATAATATTACCACTTTAATTTCTAATTTGACTCCTGCAGGAGGGCAGCGGAGGCCACTCCGGTCCTCCTTCCTGCAGCAGCCCAACACTAAAAATAAAGTCCTCTATGCATGGCTGGAGCGCGGAGGCAGGCCTCATTAGGAGTGAGTAGCTCTGTGGCTGAGGGTGTTTTAACACCTGCTGCTCTTCACCTGAGGGCGAGTGCAGAGGTGGAGAGACAGAAAAAGAGAGAGAGGAAGAGAGAGGGGGGGGGGGGGGGTATGGATGGGTAAACGGGCCAAGATGTCACAGACTTCATTTCAGTCCGGTGATAGAAAGCCCTTAGACTACTAACTCAGCTGACATGCCAACCCACATTTTCACAGCCACCAAACATTATCCAAACCGCGGTGCATCAGTGAACTGCGCGTCCGTGCTGTGTGGGGGCACAACTCCACGTGCAGTCTGCAAACTGCATTGCAGCAGTGACTAATTATTGTCATTGGAGGTACAGGGAACTGTGACATTTTATCTGCTTTCCTTCTAAAGTATAGGCAACATGCACATTTATATATTCTCATAGCAGTTTGTTTTTTTCAGTCTTATGTGTCTTTAACCAATTGTGCAAAAATGTTGACATTGCAAATTACATTTATATTAATTTATTAGATGTTTTTCAGGTCACATGGTTGCATTAACTCAAAAGCCTGATGCACACACCAGTACAAAAAGTCAAGCTGATCTCCTCAACAGTATCTCGGCAGTTTTATTCTTAATTCTCATTCTGTACCTGAACTCCTCAGCTACAAAAATACATGAAATTAGGTGTGTCACTTATGAAAGTCTATTTCAAATTTTTAGCTTTGAATCAAAGAAGTAAAAAATTGGCTTTTGTTTGCTTCCTCTCTGACTTTGCTTCTCAATAACATCCTGTCATTTGCAGCAAAAATGAACGCAACACTAGATGCACTGCAATTAACTGGATTCAGTGTCGATTTTCATGTTCAATGTAGCATCAGAATGTGAATTGATTTGTTTTCTGAGTTATATGTAAACAAAAGGATGAGTCATGATACCTGAGAAACAAGATTGTTCAAATTGTTAATGAAGTGAATTATCGTGGTGGTCAGCAGGAAGAAAAATTAATGATGTTGTCTTTTTGTTTTGTTTTCAGAGAACAAACAAGAAAGATAATTTGACCATGAGAAGCATTTACCTTCAACATTAACTAAATGTGTTTTAAAAAGCAGTGTTAGCCATGTGTGATTTTATTACAAATGAGAGCACAATTTTACCACCACCAGGAAACACAAACACTTTGTTTATATTTCATTTAAATCCTGTTAGTAGTCTAAAACATTATTTTTGGTTTCTCTGAATTTTATTTTTTATTAGAAGCACACATTTTAATTTGTATTCATAAGTGTTCATAGTTAATTTATTTTCTCTATTAAGAGACAAAATATTGAAAATGTTTTGTACAGAATGTATTAATAAAACGAAGACAAGGTGTTGAACTTTTTAATGTGTGCTGTATAATAACTTTGTTTTATTTGTTTTCAGGCACTAACATAAAATGTTTTGGGATCACTGACTGAATGCTCCTGCATGGACTCCAACATGGACTTGTTGCTCAGAAGACGACTTACTATGAAAACTGCTGATAGTTGAAATAGAGAGCATGTGGTATTAAACAGTATGACTTTTTCTGTGTTTGTTATTTGTGTCTTTTTCTGCCATTTTTTCCTCAAAAATCAGAATTTGTTATTTATGACATATTAGTGGATTATAAATAAAACATTTGAACCCAGTGACTCTTTCTTCCATGCAAATATAATCTAACTCCAAAAAAAATATTCTAGTTATAAAAGACAGACACTGTAATTACCAGGAGTGTAATAGGCTTTAAAGCTGGTCACTGCAGAAATCACATTTCCCCCTCTCTTTTCCCCTTTCAGTGTTCAGATTTGCTCTCTCCCTTCAGAGAGCTGGGGTCACAGTGTGGAAAAGCCCCCAGCTGAACTTGTAGAAATGCTGTCCCCATTACGGCAGCAGCAGGGGTCAGGCCATGGCAGCAAGCATCCAACCTGCCTGAAATTGGCTGCAAAATGACCAATTACCTGAGTGAAGGCTGGGGGAGAAAAGACTTGGCAAAATATGGCTTTTACTTAATTCAGCTAAACTGTAAAAGAAACTAGTGACACATTGATGCCTGAAACTTGCTACATGCCACACATTCCCGTCTGTTAAGCCAAGAACTGGGCAAAGAAGTTTCCCCGAACCAGAAAATAGATTTTAAGATAATTTAAATTAAGAAAATACTTCACACAGTGGAGAATAAAATCAATAAAACTTTAAATGGGGAATAATTTCATCATCACTAAAACAAAGATTGATTATCTTTACATGTAGGTCTTATTTAATTAATTTCCCTGCAAATGGAAAACATGCAAATTCACCAATTAAGTCATTTGCCCATGGAGAACTGGGCTGCTTGACGTTCAGCTGCCACTGCGCCTTTAGTCTGAAACCCCTTTTCTAGTTTTTTGTTAAGAGTTAAGTCTCCAACAAAGACAGGAAGGAGGTCAGCACTCAGCCAACACCTGAATGTGCCTCTCCTTTTTTGTGCTCCCCTTGATCCCCACAGTCTGTGCCTGTCATTAGTCTTAATGATGGAAAATTGTCATGTTGATACAAGTCTTGCTCTCCCCCTCTCTTCTTTTGTATAAGTAGAAGGTGGAAGCTCCATTTGTGACGAAGTTCTAAGCCGTGGACGTTGCATTTGTGCCAGGCGGGGAGAATAAGGCTGTAGATGCTCTTTCCATAGCTGGGATAATTATTCCTACTGTGACCTTAATGATTCGCTCTGTTCATCCTGCATCTCATCCACGCGCCAGGCCCTCAGCAGAGCCCCGTGTCAGGGAATATGAAAAACCCATATAATGAAACCATTTTGGCTGATGGAAAAAAGGGGGCTACTGAAGCTGCACTTGCTACAAAGACGGCTCAATTATATGAGTAATTGTGATAATTTTCCCTCCATTCACTGCTTTCTCTGAAAGGTAAAAAACACAGATGCTGAAAGGGAAATTACTTGGACAATATATAATCTGTGAAATGGTCACAACAGAAAAAAAAGATGACTGTAAGAAAGAGTAGGACTATAAATAGGTATGTTAATGCAGGGCACATAAATACACCCTCAGACATAAAAAAAAAAAAAACAGCATTACCCTGTGCATGTGAAAAGGGAAAGAAAAAAAACACGCAACAAATGACCCGAGAAAAAAACATGATAAAAGTAGATATGCAGCTGCCAGAAAATTAAACCTCCTTCTCCTTCCAATTGACAAATTTCAGCTCCCGAAAATGCACCCCCAAAGCTGGCTATCATTTGTTGTTCTCTGACAGGAAAAGGATAATTACCTCTCTCAGAGGCAGGAGGACTGACATGCCCTCTAGACTTTGCCATGAATGCAGAAGCTTGATAGACAGTTTGAGGAATAATTTTGTTCTTCGCCCTTTTTTTCCCCTTTATGTTCAAGAGCAGAACATGTTTTGTTCGGGGTTAGAACTTGGGAGATGGCAGTATTGTAGAGTGCATTAAACCATGGGTGTTCATACTGTAAATATGACATCCCAGTGCCTATCAGCCTCGCCGTTCGGGAAAAAAAAACTCTGAAATGCATTAAAATTTCAATTTCAGCTCGCTGGGAGAGACAGGCGAGATAGTGAGATATGCATTACTTTTTCCTTTCACAGTGGGTGTTGGATTAAACATTTCTTCTTCCTTGCCAGAAGAAAAAAGAATAAACGCTTATTTCCACCAAGAGCTTGCTTTGTGGAGACTGAAATCCTTTGTATTTAAGGGAGTGTCCAACATGTACATATGCATGAAAGCAAACACTAAATTAACTCTTCAAGCTGTCTCAAACCATCATTATAAAGCTCTGCTCCAGTTTTTGATACACATTCTCCTTTCACAGACTGATTCTTCTTTCATTGTGTTTTGCTACTTCCACAAGTGTTTTTTTTTTTTTTTTCCTTGAGAAACCGCCCACGTGTTGGCCGCTGACCCCTCTGGCCCCTGCAATCTGGAATAAATCTCTCCAGACAAGCCGAGCAACATTACAGCCTTGCAGCTCAAATACTTGTATCACACTCAAATGATGAGTCTCTGTCACCCACCATGTCATCAGCTTCATCCCCAAACCCCCCCATAACTTCCGTCCCATTGAGCAGCCTCGTGTGTTACGAGGGCCAAGACAGCCAGAGACCCCCTGGTCCTACCTGATTGTGCCTCCTGTAAGACGGAGGAGCAGCCTGGGCCAACCAGCAGCAGCCCTATACTCAGCATTGCTTTTTTGTGTATAGCACACAAATACACACACATACACACATATACACACAAACCACCAATCTCAATGCTGTGCACCCCAC